GTTTACTTGGGGTTTACATTGCCCGAGGGATGGTGGTGTGGGCCCACTTTATAAAGACACAGTATCATTGAGCAATTTGGAGGAAACAGGATATACTTTTATTGGGATATTGACCACTTTTCCTTAAACCATCAGCCATTCTTCATTCCATGATAATGTTTTCAAAACACATAAACAAGACCTTTCTCAATTGTGATATCAGAAATGAACTGAAACAAGAATGGGGAAACTCAGCAGGAGAGGAGAGAACACAAGGATAAGAACTTCTCTCTCATGAAACCATTGAACTTTGTATTTGTTTACAATACAGTGAGGTGAAGCATACTACCTTGCCCTCTCTAGCTTCTACAGGCCACTCATATCATTCCAGTCACGTCCCCTCTCCTCCAAATGAAAAGCCAGCAGCATGCCATCGCATGGTAACTGTGCAAGATCACATATCCATTCACATGCTCTGGGATAAGAACAAGAATATCTTTGGGGGTCAGTACTAGGTGACTGAAAAGTCATCCTCTATTTCTGTGTTCCCCTCTCCCGTCCCTGAACTATCCTAATGACAGGAGATTTGAGGTGAGCCAGGGCTAGGGAAGTAAGAGTGTTTTGCCTTGGCAGCATTTACCTTCCAGGGAGTTGCACTGCCAACCCTAACAGATGCAGTTCAAACCCACCAGCCGCTCTGAGGAGCTCACTCAGGGCAGGATGTTTCTCCCTCTGAAAACCCGCTGGAGGGCGAGTCTTCAGATTTCACAGCACCTGACAGCCTTGGAGTGCAGGCCTGGTGATCTTATCTGGTTCCCACATCTTGACAGTCCCGTGGAATAGTTCTATTGTGCATACATGGGGTCAGCATGAGTCAGAGTCATAACCCTCTTCCGTTAACACTTCCCTCTTCTTCTCCTCTCTTCCTTCAAACCTCCAGGGCCTCCTCCCCACGCCCACCCCCAGGAGATAAAATTGCTAACTATTTTGCTGAGAGCAGAGAAGCCATCTGGAGGGCAATTTCACATGCTTTTCCATATCCTCTTCTTGCTCGTCTGCATCTTGAATCCTGAAAGTGGTGGCACTGTTTCTTTAGCTGGAGAGAAATGGATCCCACCACTCCAGTGCATTCTAGGAAATGATCCCAGCCATTGCCATCACCCTCCTATATAACAGCCACAGTTCTTCCCTCTGTCCCATGACTCCCAGTGCGGTAGATATGCTGTAGTTTCACCCGGCTGGTCACATGAAGAGAAGGCCTGTCAAGGAGATCCTTCTATAGCCCAGCATCACTGGCAGTGATAGTGCAGTCTAGCCAACCGGAACTGCCATTTTCATTAGACCTGGTATCTCAGTTGACTTCCCACCAATGTTTTATGGTCTAGGCACCTGCATTTCCTTTCTTGGGTAATTGGCAAAGCGCATGTGGTCCTGCTGAGAACACCATTTTGGAAGTTTCCGTAAGGGTTAAGTGGTCTCACTCAGAGGACACATTTCACATAGGCAATGGGATCGAGGTCCAACCATTTGCCCAAACCGACAGCTGCAGGAACACTATGGGTGATATCTGCTCTTTTCCATCTCCTGCACATCTCTTTCTCTACTCTAGGAGTGAGAAACGGATTTGTAAATCCTAAATCCTAATTCCAATAGGAACAAGGATAACAACCCCCATGAGCTGGCAATAACATCCAACATCCAGAGATACTGGCCCTTTACCTTGGGTATGAAGAACTGCATCGACATGAACAGTATAGACAGATCTTCCAGCAGACAAGTTTTACAAGTGTGTCTGTCTGGCAAAGGCTATTTATTTAGGGGGCTCTTTAGAACAGGAACAAGAAACACTGAATGAACTATATTCACAAAGCAAGTTACAAGGAACACCCACTGCAGGATGTTGTATCTGATCTGCATTGAACCCAAGATTCAAATAACTTGAAAGTCATTGTTCCTCTTGTGAAAAACTGGGCTTACTAACAGCATATCCACTTTTTCCATAAAGAAAAGGAAAGGATTGTCTGTGACTTGAATCCTGCCTGGGTTCCACATGAGTCAATAGAGAGAGGAGGGAAAGCCTCACTAAATGTCAGAATATATGTTAGGATGTTTATCATACCTGGTAAAATTCAGCTGTCTCTCCCGAGTCGTCAGAATAATAAAATGTTTGTTGATATCACCAACTATTCCCTGGAAGTAGGTTGCAGAAGCACGTCTGGTTGAGAAGTGCACTGATGTGCATGTGTCTGTGGATGTGTGTGAGTGTGTATGTGTGTACATTTACTGCCACATACAACTACTTCCGCTTACTGACCATCTACTTTGCTGATAAAAATGGACCATTGACCACATCCCCCATTAATGATGCATGTCTAGAAGAAGCAAATGCTGGGCCATGATTTACAATGGTTTGGCAATTATGACCTGAAGTGATGTGGCAGTTACGTAACGATTTAGTCAAACTCCATTTTGTGATCTGATATAATCATCCTGAGGGGGTTTTCCCCCCACAATGCTGATACTAACATAATGATCCTGCTTTTTAGAACCCAAGGAGTGAGGAGTGAGCGTATCATATCTATTTTACTAATAAGCAAATAGTGATTTGTATTTATGAATAAATAAATGTTCATGAAACAACCTTGTCTATATTACCTCAAAACCTCAAACTCACAGGTGTCATGGTGGGAAGGAACAAGCCTGCGGTGGGTCTTCAGGAGACTGTAAATCACATGGCAGCAGACTGCTCGTCTTCCGCCTGTGGAGCTGCTGTTGGATTTGAACTTCCAGAGAAGTGCGGCCTTTGTGTTAACAGCTCATCTTCCTCTGGACTATACCATAAGAACTCCCTGAGTTAGTCAATGCTCCAATAAAAGGAAATGGCCCAAGTGGATGGCGTCAGCAAAGAGAAATTTTCTTTCCCAACAGTTTAATAGGCTAGAAGCCCAATCCATGGCCCTGGCTCTCTGGGAAGGCTTGCTCTCTGCTGGTTCAGGGGGCAGGCAGGCCCGTGCATCCTCTGGGCTTTGGTTCCCGGGAGATCTTCATGTAGCCTGCTCTGTGTCTCTATCCATCTCTGCCTCTTTCCCCAGTTTGTTTCATCGACTTTCTATCTTCACTGAAATGGTCTTAAAGCACTCTACATTAATTGAGTCTCATTAACATAGCAGAGATTACCCATTCCCAAATGAGATTATAATTGCAGGAAGAGAAGATGGGATTTATAATGCATATACGGGGCGGGATAATCCAGTTCACAACAAACTCTTTCCACTCAATGAAAACAGTTGTTCCGTAGAAATGGAAATCTCCAAGGCTGTTTTCTAGAGTTTTCAAGCTTTATGCCCCTCTCTTTCTCATCCCTTCACTTTCCAGACACAGCAGCCAGTGTCTCTTATTATAGGCTGACTCTATTTCTGTAGCCCATGGTGGTGTGGTGAGCTACCACTGGAGAGGTGGGTCGTTTGAACTCACAAGCTGATCTGAGTGAGAGGGGGAAAAAATCCTGTTGAGATTTGCAGGCTCAAAATGAAAGCTCTTAGTCGAAACTGGAGTAAAGCCCTTGCCTATCGGTCAACTATCAGCCAGACAATAGATGGGACTTTAGGGGGACCAAGAAGGCCTGGGTTTGTACTGTGCAATACAATGGGCTGCTAAACAAAAGATCAGGGGCTTGGATTCACCAGTGATTCCTCAGAAGGAGGATGGACAGTCCTCCCATAATGATTTACAAGCTGGGAAGCCCACTGGAGGCTGCGGCGCCAGGACAGAGTCACCAAGAGTGGGTGCAGGCGAGGCACGAGGACTTGAGGGAGCCAGTGAGGCGAGCGTGAGCACCCCGCTGGCACTCGGGTTGCTACAACACAAAATGTGCGAGAATGGCTGGGTGAAAGAGCAATTTGCTTTGGGAACTTCCGCTCAGATCACTATTTCAGAAGTCCATACAAACAAACAAACCAAAGCATTTACAGCGTTGGACACCCGATAGAGGGGTCACCATGACGGAGGATGGACTGGATGGCAGTGCGTTTTACGAGTTAGTGTCAGCAGTCGATGCGATCAAGAAGCTGGAGCTTTCTTTCCAATCAGAAAAACCTTGGAAGAAAAGGCATGCGGGGGACCTTTGCAACACTGGCCGCTGAAGGCCCTGTGGACGGAGCACAGTTCAACTCCAACACACCTGAGTTAGAATTGCCTTCATGGCAGCTGGACTCGATCTGTATGCCCTCACAGGTTCTCATGACACTTCAAAGCCACATCGACTCCCCACTAAGCAAAGTTACTTTACAAAACCCCACAGCTGTGGAGTCGGTTCTGACTCACAGAGATTCTCCATCGGGTCTGAAGCAGTAAATCTCCATCAGAGGAAGTTGCCTATCTTCCTGCCTGAGGGCTGCTGGCGGCTTAGCAGCACAACACGCCACACACTAAGCCACCAAAGGCCCTTAGCCACTCTCTAGAAGAGAGGGAACATTCAGAACCAGACTTGTAGGCGTTCATGGGCTTCACATGTTTACTGGCAGGACGGTCGGGGTATGCAGAATCTTCAGGAAGTCCAGATGCCAAGCTCATGGAGGGGGTCCCTCCACAAAGCACCCGGGCAAGGATGGGTCGAAACAAGTGAAACTCTGCGGCCTGCCAGATCTGCTCTTGACGTCAGGTCAAGTGGAGGGCTGGAGCAATTAGTGAAACGTGCTTTTTATAATAAAACCCAGTTTAGAATAACCACAGCTTTTTCTCAAAGTCAACTTTCAGTTAGGTTGGCTGCAAATGCCTATAAATGGACTGGATCTGCACTGTGTAGACTGTGACGATACACACAACTTTCCTTGTAAAGCCCCCAGTTGACCTGCCCCTTTCAAATAAACATCTTAGCTGGCATGCAAATGGTTCTGCTTGAACATGTTCAAAACACACACTAACACCGGCCAATGGCCCGGAGCCAGTCATTTTGTGCCTGGGTTAACGTTAGCTGGGAGAGGTGACTGCAGCCCATCCCGAGGTGGACTGGCAGCCCTTACCTTTGGGAATGGTGATCTGACAGTTCAGGTCACAGTCCTGCTGCAACTGTAAATAAGCCACTTCCTGCAGCCGGGCCCGCTCCAGCTCCGAGAGACTCTGGATGGGGACTGACCTCAGCCGCACGCTGCGGCCCGACATGCTGTTCCAGGTGAACTCACCCTGTGGACCAAGGAAAAGCAGCCAGAGTTACAGGAGTTCCCTTCAGTCCCAAAGGCAAGCAACCCCCCCTCTTTATGTCCCCACAATGGCTGACAGGTCCCCCAGTTGAGCCCATTCTTAACCAACTGTGGATTCTCTTAATCTGTTGCACATGTGAAAATGTACCCTATCTTCTGAGCATCCTGATCCCATAGAAAGCTGTGTACAGAGGCTGGAGAAAACAACGCAGAAAGATCCCTGCAGGGTCCTGGTCCCTCGCACAGGCCCAGGTTTATTAGAGCATTCGTGAAACAAGGTCGAAGTGTTCTGAGTCGAAACTCTGCCATGGGGGTTTCCACTGGGGGAGACCACAGGTACATCCTCAGTCACTTGTTTGCTCTTCCCCAAAAGATGAGTTCCCGATGGCTGTGACTTTTAGATAAGAAATAAAATACGGGAGACCTGGCAGCATAAATAGCTAGGTATGTGGCTGTTGATGAGAAGGCTGGTGGTTAGGACATCTTGGGGGAAGATGTAGTGCTCTGCTTCCAGAAGGAATACGGCTTGTAATCTCTGCAGGGCAGGTCCAGCATTTTACGTGGGGTTAGTGTGAGTCAACAATGACTCAACAACACCCAAAAGCAGCAAGGGAGTAAATAATCATTTGACGTCTGATGGCTTCAACTATCTATACCTAGGCTGGCAAACATTTTCTGGCGAGGGGTCAGAGCGCAAATATTCTAGGGTTTGTAGGTCACGGGGTCTCTGGCACATGACTCTGCCGTGGGAGCACAAAAGCAACCACGGACACCATGGGAGAAATAAAAATGAACGTGACTCTGTTCCAATAAAATTCTCTTTGTAGAAACGGAAACATAATTTTCAAGCCATAAAAGAATGCTCTTCTTTTGAATTTCTTAAGCCACTTACAAATGCAACTTTTTTTTTTTTTATTACTTCCAGGCTAAAAAGAAAAAAAGGAAGCGTGCTAGGTTTGACCCGTTGGTTGTAGTTTATTGACCCCTGTTGGTGCTAGATCTGGGCTGTTTAATAGCCTACGCATATTTACTTAGCATATTCTTTCATCAAACAAACAACAAAGCCTCATCACTGGACCAAGAGGCATCATGATAGATGGAGAAAAGAATGAAGTTGTCAACGATTTTGTTCACTTGGAGTCACCGCTAACAACCGTGGCAACAGCAGTCAAGAAAAGACAAGACACGCCACAGTGGGAAAAATCTGTTGTCAAGGATCTTGTTAATGTGCCAAAGAACAATGATGTGAGTTTCAAGACTAGGGTGTGCCTGATCTTTTCAGTTCCTTTCTGTGAGTGTGAAAGTCGGATAATGAATAGAGACGACAGAAGAAAGAATGCCTGTGAGTTGTGGTGTTAGAGAAGAGTATTGACGAGCCTGTGCACTGTCAAAAGAACAAACAAGTCTGCCTTGGAGGAAGTGTGCTCATGGGTGCTCTTCAGAAGAAAGGATGGTGAAACTTGGCCTCACAGATTTTGAGAATGTTGTCAGGGGGGGCCAGTCGTTGGAAAAAGACATCATACTGGGGAAGGTGGAGGATTAGAAATCAATGGACACTATTTTACATTTCATAACATTAATGAGGGGCTCGAGTATATCAGACAGTGGTGCATCAAGAGTTACAAATCAAATTCGCTTTTGGGGGCTGCCTAGCAGCCAAACCAAGCCATCTTCTGTTGTGTTTGTGTAGCGAAACTTAGACTGAATTTGTATAAACTGCTAAGAAACAGTCTTTTTGAAACAGAGTCTGTTCAAAGGCCAAGAAATGCCAGTACATGAGGGCAAAACCAAATGTGATACCATCTGAGTGGGGGGGGGGAAGTGATTCCAATAACATCCACTCCAATCAGATTACTTAGGAGCAGGAAGAAATGAACATCAATGTCAATGTCCTGGGCTTATCTCAGGTCATATACCAAGGAAAGGAGAGCCAGGGCCTATGGATGTGTTCCGAGCCCACCAGTATGGCCTCAAATGGGTCTCTGGTCGGTTCGTCAACTAGTCAATGAGCCTTCCAGGCCTGCGTTCTTCTTTGGTGACTGTCTATCTAATAAATAGGTGACTCATTTTATGGCTGTGTGTTTCTCGTCTTTGGATTAATTTTCTCCTAAATTTTCTGTACTTTTTTGGTATTTTTAAGAATGAAAAGTGTATTTCTTTTCTTTTGTTTTAATTTCACAAATGTAGGTGAAGTTGAAACGGACTCCAAAATTTCTAGATGGACTAAAAGCCCTGAAAATTCTAAAAATCTCTTTTTATTTTTGGATTACTGTATGACAACATAAACGAGGCTAACAATATGGTGGGGTAGCCTGAAGGGAACTGCGCTGCTTATCAAAAGGCAGCTATAAAGGCAACCTCCTGTATGAATCACACTGTGTGTAAACCCAGTGGAGGGTCAGCTTTGAGTTGGTTCTAACGCGACGTCAATGAGTTGAACAGGAGTAACAGTGATGGCCCACAAAGCTGCTTCAGGACTTTGCGCTTGTTCCTCTTGTACTCTGAAGTGAAACCAACTCCACGACAGCTAACAACAAAAGAAAAGGCCTAAAAACAAGCAAACAAAACCCCAACAATAAAAATGCCCCATGAAATATTTCAGAATGTCTGGAGACATTTTTATTATCACCATTCGAAGGCTATGCTACAAGCATCTAGTGGATAGAGAGCAGGGATGCTACCAACCATCCCGCTGTGTGCAGGACACCTCTGGAAAACAAAGGATTGATTACCAGGCTCCAGTTTCATATAGATTGGAGGTGGGGAAATCATGGTATAGTGTAAGTTAGACCTGCTTTTAAGCACAAATAACACAGAACTGACAGAAAATGTTGATGTTGGGAATGAAAACCCATCATTTCTATGTTTTCTTTATCATAAAAGCTGGACATGATATTATTATGTATATTAAGCACCATAGTACTTATTATACATGCACTGTGTTGTATGCTATTTAAATAACCAGAATCCTGTGAATTATTCTATTTCAGACAAGCAAGTTTACAACAATAATCAACAACAGCATTCTCAATGCAATGGAAACTTGGTTAACTGGGGAAGAGCTCTCTCAAAGGGTTAATGAAATACATTCCTTCCCATCAGAACCGTATGTGTCTGTCCTTAGTAAAAAGAAGCCAAAGACTCTTTTTAAAAAAAAAAAATCTAATAGTTGTGTTTTATTCTAAAAAAAAAATTATCCTTCTTTGGAGCTAAATTGCATTTTTACAAACAGACTTGATTTTCCCATGAAATGAATTTGATTGAAATCATTATGGTTTTGGTCTATACCACATTGTTTTCTTATGTCTTTAGGGCTAGTGTCTAATTGCAGCATCTCCTTAACCTCAGCCAATTGTCAAGTCCCCAAGACCAAGGGAGGGCCAGCAAAGAGTGAGGCAGGCTGTTCAAAGAGTGGCCCGGGCCCAGCATTACACATGCAGAGCCTGGGTTCAAAGGCAAGTATACAGAGGTAGGGTCTCAGAAAATGCACTTCACCATCTTCACTGCAAACAGATGTCCCCAGACAACACTTATTTTTGGTTCAGTAAAGGTGGAGACCCACTGGAGTGATGGCTACGACTTGGGTTCAACTGGGTTTGCTCGTTGGCACAAGATGGAATATCTCTGGCCTGTGTCCCTAAAACAGGACAGAATGAAGCACAAGACTTTTCTTTCTCAGGTTTGTGCGGCTCAATCACATAACAACGCAAGTGGATTTCTCGTAAGAGTTGATAATCAGCACCCAGCCAGTCCTGGATGAGTGGAAAGTTACGTTATAACTCATATTAACCATTACATTGACTTTGTATCCCTTTCTCAACATGGCAATGTCTCTTAGTGATACAACAGTTAGCCATTTGTCTACTAACGGAAAGATTGGCAACTTCAATATAAAAACTCATAGCTAAAAAACAAACAAAAAACAAAAAAACAACAACTCATAGCTGTTAAAAATCCTGTGGAGCCATTGCAGCATTATTCACAATAACGAGAAAATGGAAACAGTCCAAACGCCCATTAATAAACGGGTGGGTTGAGAAATTACGGTACATTCACACAATGGAACACTATGCAGCACTAAGGAGCAGCGATTTCGTGAGAGCTCTGGTACATAGGGAGGGTCGTAGGAAACTCGATGGCACAACTATATCATATGGGAGAAGCACTAGAGCACTACGCTGAGTGAACCAACTCAGTTTTATAAAGATAAACAAAGACCATTATTGTAAAAATGGAAGGCTAAGTCAATAAGATGTGTATAAAAGTCCAAAGAGGGAAGGAGGAGGGGTGGTGTGTGTGTGTAGAACTCACAGGGACAGCAGAGTTTGGTAGGAAGAGGGAGGGAGTGAAGCAATTAGGAAAGATCCAGTAGGGATCCTCATAGATCAATGGTGATTAATTTTTTTTTTTAGTGGTGATTAATTTTTTAAAACACAATGTGTAAGAAGGATCATATGAACCATAATGTGAATGAAGGGATGCGTGAAACACAATGTATATGAGTAAAACACAAGGTATGCGACTTTTGTATGCACACCAATAAAAAATGTTTAAAAATTAAATATTAAAAAAAAAAGGAAAACAAAACAAAAATCCCATGATGCACTGTTGCATTCTGGCACACGTCGCATCCTTCCTGGGAAGCAGGACCTACCACAATTGGTTTTGATAGGATGGTATTAATAAGTTGAGGATTATTCAGACACACGGTACAGCTCTAAAACCTTGACATCTTAGGTTTCTAGCCTACAAAACTCGTTGAATCATCTAATTAACATTTGTTTTGTCTTCAGACCCAGTTTTAACTTCTCTGTAGCTATGCACATTACCTGAAGCTGCCTGTTTATTGAGAAGAAAAATGCATCTTTCCGGAATTAGCATTTGCTTTTGAAACGGCATGAGAGGAAGACCTGCATGAGATGGGATGACTCAGTGAGTAGGGTAATGGGGGTAGGTATGTCAGAGACAATAAGGTTGGCTCAG